GGGCTAAATGGGTAAGGGGCACTAAGGAATCTACTCCTGAAATCATTGTTGCACTATATGCTAACTAATTTGGATGTAAATTAAAAAAAATAAAAAATAAAACAAGTTAAAATAAAAATAAACAAATAAATAAATAATTAAAAAAAGAAAAAGAAATGAAAAGTAAAGAAAGAAGTACTAATATATGTTACAGCATGGATGAACTTTGAAGACACCTCCGTGAAAGCAGCTAGTAACCTAAGGCCATACAGTATTTGATTCCATTTACATGCAGTGTGCTGAACAGGAAAATCCACAAGGAAAGAAAGTAGATTAGTGGTTGCCAGAGGCAGGGAGGAAGGGAAATGGAGAACACCTGTTAATGGTATGGTTTTCATCTTGGAGTAGTGAAAATATTCTGGAGGTAGATAATGGTGATCTTTGTACAACTTTGTGAGTATACTAACCCTCCCAGAATTCTACACTTTTTAAAAAAGTGTGAATTGTATCTCAATTAAAGAAAAAAACCCATATATATACACACTACACAATATTAAGAATAAATCATCTTGCAGAATCTTTATGAAGCTTTACTAAGATAAATTAAAGAAGACTTAAATAAATGAAGACATACCAAATTCAAAGACTGGAAAAGTCAGTATCACAATTATGTCAATTCCCCAAAATATGATCTAAGGAGTCAATGCAATCCAATAAAACTTCCAACAATTTTTTTGTGCTTGACCTAACACACTAATAATATATACATGTATGAGAAAAGGGCTGAGAAGGGGTGCCTGGGTGGCTCAGTCGGTTAAGCATCCGACTTTGGCTCAGGTCATGATCTCGCGGTCCGTGAGTTCGAGCCCCGCGTTGGGCTCTGTGCTGACAGCTCAGAGCCTGGGGCCTGTTTTGGATTCTGTGTCTCCCTCTCTCTCTGACCCTCCCCCGTTCATGCTCTGTCTCTCCCTGTCTCAAAAATAAACAAAAACGTTAAAAAAAAAAAAGGGCTGAGAATAATCAAGAATGATCAATAACCAGTGCTTTCCTTACCTAATAAGGAATTATAAAGGCATAATAATTACGGCAAGAATGTAATAGCCCAGTAATAGATAAACTTGCCAGAACAAAAAGAACAAAATAAAAGGCCAGAAAGGGACCCATGAGTACATGGAAATGGTGTCAGCACTGACAGAGCAAACAAATAGGGAGAGGCTGCCACTTCAAGGTGCTGCTTATCCCTGTTAGGAAAAAAAAATAGGTCCTTACCTCACAGAAGACACTAAAAGCCAATGTGAGCTGCCTTAAAGGCTTACATGCGAAAAACAAACTTTTAGGAGAAAATATACAAGAACTTTGTTTGTTTGTTTAAAGGTTTTAGTTGCGTTCTAGTTAGTTAACATATACTGTAATATTTAAGAGAAGAATAGCTTTGGGCGCCTGGGTGGCTCAGTCGTTAAGCATCTGACTTTGGCTCAGCTCATTATCCTACAGTTTGTGAATTAGAGTCCCACATTGGGTGAGCTCGTGCCCCACTTCAGGTGAGCTCATGCCCCACTTAGGGTAAAACACGAGCGGCTGGTGAGCTCCGCTTCTCTCGCTCTCTCTGCCCCTTGCTCACTTGTGCCCTCTCTCTTTCAAAAAAAAAAAAAAAGAGAGAGAGAGAGAGAGAGAAGATTATCTCTATAATCTTTGAATAAGAGGGATTTTTGAAATAAGACACAAATAACAAACTACAAAGACTAATAAGTTTGATTATATTAACATAAAAATATTCTGTTCATCAAGACATCACAAAGAATGAAAATAGCTACATAGTGGGAAAAGATACTTGCAACAAATACAACAAAAGAGGATTAGTCTCTACAGTATATAAAAAATTTCTAAAAATATGAAAATGACAACTCCAGAGAAAAATGGGCAAAAGATTTGAACAGACTCAAAAGTAACAAAAATGGTTCATGTTATATGAATCTTCAGTCTATTTTATTTTCTTTAACATGTTTATTTTTGAGAAAGCACGAGTAGGGGAGGAGCAGAGAGAGGTGGGGACAGAAGATCCAAAGTGGGCTCTGCACTGACAGCAGTAAGATCAATGTGGGGCTCGAACTCAGGAATTGTAAGATCATGACCTAAAATGAAGTCAGACGCCCAACCAACTGAGCCATGCAGGTGCCCCCAGTCTATTTAGTAGCAAGAGAAACACAAACTCAAACCACTCAATAAGTAAACACTACTTACCTACCAGACTGATAAATATTAAAAAAGCCAAATTATTATCAAATAGGATACCTTCCAAATTTGATGGTTTCTTACCTTATAATAGGCCTTTGCATTGTTAAAAAGGAGCTGGAAGTCAGCAGTCAGCAGATTAACATCATCATACTCTTCCATTTTTAACTTTTGTTGGATTTTCATCAAATCAATGGGCTGAGAAACCACTTCATAATAGTCTGGTTGATTTCTGTTATAATTTTTTTAAAAAAGGTATTAGTCCAAAGCCTATGAAAAGTTATATTTCAAAACTATTTTTTGTCCAACATTCCAAGTGACAGAACATATTAGACTTATTCCCATTATTAGAACTAAAAGGGAGTAGCAAAAGGTGCATATGCAAGGCCTTTTTTAAGTATATGTTAGTGACATAAAAACCTAACTTAACGCTTGTGATGATCATTTATATGCTAAATATTTAAGATTTAGGGCACTAACACTAAAACTATATGTATCTTCTGCAAATGAAAATAACTTACCTTTCATCATGTTCAATAGTGGCTGAAAACAGATTCAGGTTTCAAAACTCTTTAAAACTTATTTTCTGTATGACCTTCACTATCCTCCCTTCCAAGAGATAATTACCATCCTGGATTTTGTATTTACCATTCCTATGTGTTTTTCTTTTTTTAATAGTTTGGTCATGTTTATTTGTTCTTACGCCCTTTCATCTTTGGTAAGCTCTTTGTGCCAAGGACCACATCTTTCTTCTTTGTAAGTTTAGTAATTGATATTAGAGAAGTTTACATATAACAGGCACTTGATAGTACTTGGCAGAAAAAGCTCTGTGGTCACCAAGCAAAGGTCATACAGGAAATTTCAAAAGTAGTGTTTTTTTTAAGTTTTTTTTTTTTTTAATTTATATTGAGAGAGAGAGAGAAAGAATGTGAGCGCACACACGTGTGCCGGGGAGGAAACGAGAGAGAGGACAGAGAACCCCAAGCAGGATGTCAATGCGGAGACTGATGTGGGGGCTTGATCTCAGGAACTATGAGATCATGATCTGAACAGAGACCAAAAGTCAGACACTCAATAGACTGAGCTACCCCGACGTTTTCATGGTTTTTTTTTTTTTTTTTAATGTTTATTTTGAGAGAAAGAGAGCATGAGTGGGGGAGGGGCAGAGAGCGAGAGGAAGGAAGAGAATCCCAAGCAGGCTGCATACCGTCAGAGCAGAGCCTGACACAAGGGTCAAACTCATGAACTGTGAGACCAAAACCTGAGCTGAAATTAAGAGTCAGATGCTTAAGTGACTCAGCCACCCAGGTGTCCCTCAAAGGCAGTTCTAATGATAATGTCTTAGGTTGGGTTTTGGGTTCATGGATGTTTATTCTTCTTTCTGGCTTTTTTTCAAACGAAATTTCATGAGACAAGTATATAAGTGACTATTTCTCTCAATTCTCCTTCAGGGGTAGGTAGTTAACTCCATTCTAGATGTATAAGAAACCTGTTATTACATACAAAGAATGTCATGGTCATTAAGGCTTTACTCTCTCTTGGGACTGTGACTGACATATTATAGCCATATATGTAGGATATATTTAATTTTTAAAATCATTTTATTCTGACATAAAAATTGCAGTAATAGTACAAAGCGTGTTTCCCGGAACCACTAGAAAGCTGCTCAGATGAGGTCTTATCACCCCTAAATAGTTTAGTATTTCCTACAAAAAAGGACCACTGCTCAACCAACAAAATCAGAAAACTGACTTTGATAGTATCACTATCTAATCCTCAGACCCCATTCATGTTCTGCAACTGTTCCAAAATTGTCTTTTATAGCAAAAGGATCAAGTCCAGAATCGCATGTTGCATTTAGTTCTATTTCTTTAGTCTCCTTCATTCTGAAACAGTTCCTCAGTCCTTCCTCAACTTTCAGGATCTTCATACTTTTGAAGATTATGGGCCATTTATTTTATAGGGTGTCCCTCAATTTGAGTTTGTCTGTTTCCCCAATGAATAAACGCAGGTTACGGTTCTTTGGCAGGACTATGACAGACACGATATTGTGTTTGTCACACCTGATAAAATATTAGGTGGCACACAATTTCAACTTGTCTCAGTACTTAGGCGAGGCTGAATTTGGTCACTTGATTTTAGTGATGTCCACCAAGCTTCTCAATTGCTCCCTGTATTTTATAGAGCAGTACCTCCTGACTATATTAAGTCCATTCCTAATCAATTTACTCATTTATTTATATCCATATGGATTCCTGGATTCCTATTTGGAAGTCATTAAAATCCATTAACTATTCTGATGTTCAATCTGTTCAAGGTTGGGCCAGTTGGAATCCTTTCAAGATGGTTTCTATTTTCTATGTCCTTTTGACACCCATCACCCTTTGAACATCTGCTTACTTTCTGGCTGCCTAAGATCTTACAGGCTCATCTTGTACTTTCCCTGCCATTAAAATCAGCCATTTCCCCAAAGAACTACTGGTGTGTTGCTGCTCCCAGGCTGTCTCAATGGACAAAGCTGCGGATAGACATAAGCTCACTTATACCTAAATTTCTATTACCAACATATGTTGGAAACCATGAATTCACACCAACATTTCCAATTCCAATCCTACAACAGAGTTCATTCTAGTTTCCTTGCCATATTTGTACTCCCTTTCTCAGATAATGAGAAGCCTGGGTCATATTATTCACAATGTATCTACTACAATGATTCATCTCCTGTATGTAACCAATCTCCTCTTGCTGCTGTCTACCCAGACCCCACAAGGCTTCTCCTCACCTCACTAAGGCTATAGCCCCCTGCCGGGGCTAGGTCACAACCCCAGCAGATGCCCTCCCGGCCCCATCCATGATAGGCCACTACCACCACCACTCTCCCAACATGGACATCGTCCCCTCTCCACTCAGGCCTCCAGACCCTGTGCCAGGAAGTCCTTCCACATGACCCCCCACTTTCCCATGCTCAAGCTGACACTCCGTGATGTGATACTGCTACTGTCCAAATCCTCTCCCCAACACCCCAACACCTGTCTTCCCTGTAGATGTTAAGCTTGCTCAGTCTCACCTAATGGCTTCTGGATTAAGTTCTTCAGGAAGAGAAATGAGGAAGAACAAACTGAATTTTTTAAAACTTTTACCAATTATTTATGATTTTAGTGAACTATAAAATTAAGTATGAGGGAAATAAAAGGAGTACTCATTCTACTATTCAGACAAAGTATAAGAACATAAAGGTCTTAGCGAGTAACAACAAAGGACCACCTAGGCTTAATATCGATGTCATCAGTGGCATCAAGGGACTTTCCTAGGGTGAGCGTTAGGGCTTTGTTAACCTGACGTTCACAATGGCTCTCTCCACCTGGACCTGACGGGCCACAGTCCACTGCTCCTTGCTGAGGCTGGACCTCAGCAGCCTTTCAGGCTTGGGAGATTATCTGTAGACAACTGAGCACCCAATGAGTACATGTGCCTAGAAAGAACACTCTCTCCCAGAAGCTCTGTGAGAGGGCTCCTCACAAACATTTTCAGACTTACCAGACAAGACAGAAATCAGGATCCCCAGATTTCACTCTATGTGATAAGGTTAAAACAAGGTCCTCATCTTTTGAAAACGAAATAGTTCTACTAATTTTTCCCGCTTAAATCAACATACTGAAAAGAATAAAATAATAAAAATTGTCCCTATTCATCTAGAGGTAAAAGCACAATCAGTATTCTTTCAGACTTCCAGGCACACACATACACAAACAGCACTGTGCAATACATACATGTTCTTGCATAGCAGCTTTTCTCTTTCAACAATAGGCGAGGGCACCCTGCTATGATGATATGGCAGCAGAACAGTCAAACCATAAGTGACATTTTTAACCAGAAAAGTGAAAAATACCAGGCTTGACAGGCGGAGCCTACTGGCTATCCCCAAATTCATTTTCCCTTATCCTCAGGATGGCAGCACTCTGAGCTGCTGTGTGGGTACTAAAGAGCATATTCCCCAGCCTTGCTGCACCCAAGTTCTGACCAATACAAGAGCCAAGGTGTACGATACCCTTAACAGACTTTCTTTTTCCTATGGGCTGAAAGACAGCTGTGCTGGTGAGCCATCTCAGGCTATACAGCTAAGAGCGATACCCCAACGACAGCAAAAGAAAGACGGTTCCTAGACCCTAAGAACTTTACAGAACAGAACTTTTATATGAGAAAAAGCAGTTTTTCTTGTTTCAGCCATTGTTAATTTGGGTATCTTAGCACAAGTAGCTTAATATACTGATCAAAACAAAGTCTCAAAAAGAGATTCACAATTGTGTAGCTCTGAGCATTACTGCTCCCCACAAACTCTTAAGAAAACATACCCATTCCAAAGAAGGTAGAGCTGTCCTCTGGTACAGCACTGGGGGAAGGCAATCAGTGCTCACAGGGTGCCACATCTTGGGAAGCTAGAAGACAGTGCTCTAGCACCTAAAGTCTGTATCCTCCACCCCTCAGGACTCACTAACCTGCTGGGGGTGGAAGGCAGCAGATGGGCAGTCCTTTTCAATGAGGGGCTTGTGTGCTCCAGTACGATGCTGTTCCTCTATACAACATACTGGTTAAGAGCACTGGCTCTAGAATCAGAAAGACTGGAGTCTGTACCCTGGTTATCTTTTAGTAGTTCCGAGAACTCGTCAAGTTCTCACCTATAAACCATGATAATAATATTTTACAAGTTTGAACAATATGAAGAAAGTACTTGGCAATATATCTAATATATAGTACGAAATAAATATGGGCTTTTATTATATGCTAACTAAGTAACTTTTAAAAGATGACTATGATAAACCAAATGAAATCTGGAGAGTTACCTCATTTTAAAAAGAACCCTTCTTTTTTAGCCATGACTAATTTACATTCTTTAATTCAGGATGTTGTGCTGTGTTCTTAATGGCTCTGCTCTCTGAGGTGAAAAGTTTGCCCTCAACTTCAGCTTGCTGGTTACCCACTTTGGCATTAACAACCACGAATGAACCTAAATCTTTAGTTAACTCAATGTACTAGTTTCCTAGAGCTGCTGTAAAAAGTTACTACAAACTTAATGGCTTAAAACAACACAAATTTGGGGCGCCTGGGTGGCGCAGTCGGTTGGGCGTCCGACTTCAGCCAGGTCACGATCTCGCGGTCCGTGAGTTCGAGCCCCGCGTCAGGCTCTGGGCTGATGGCTCGGAGCCTGGAGCCTGTTTCCGATTCTGGGTCTCCCTCTCTCTCTGCCCCTCCCCCGTTCATGCTCTGTCTCTCTCTGTCCCAAAAATAAATAAAAACATTGGAAAAGAAAAATTAAAAAAAAAACAAAAAAACACATATTTATTATTTTACAGAAGTCCAAAAAGGGTCTTGCAGGGCTAAAAATCAAGATGTTGGTGTTCCTCCTGGAGGTTCTAGGGAAGAATCCATTTCCTCACCTTTTCTAGCTTCTAGAGGTTGCCTGAATTCATTGGCTTGTAGCCCTCTTCCTCCATCTTCAAAAGTCAGGAGTGTAGCATCTTCAAATCTCTCTCTGACTCTGACTCTTCTGTCTCCCTCCTCTCTGTTTAAGGACTCTTGTGATTATACTGAACCCATCTGGATAATCCAGGATAATCTCTCCAAGTCAGAGTCAGTTGGTTAACAATTTAATTTCTTTTTAGCATGTAATCTAACATATTTATAGGTTCTAGGGATTGAAACATGGACATATCTGGGGACCATCATTCTGTCTACCACACTTCTGTATGTTTTCAGAACAAATAACTTCAACTTCCTGAGTTAGAAGGGAATAGTGATGTTATCTTGACAGCAAGAGAAGAAGGAAGTTCTAGTCAGGGAGAACATAGCTTCTAAAGGGAGGTGTGTGCAATGTGCATACTAGGCCAGCAATTTTTTTTTTGTTTCACTGGACTACAGAAGTCAAGCCCAAGAGTATGGGGACAAAGCAAAAAAGCAAGATGAAAACAATGACCGTGCGCTCTCTGTATACTTTGAAAATTTTACTTCTTTTAATGATAACAGCTATAACTTTAATGTTACCTTAAATGCTATAAATAAATTTTAAAAACATGCTTCACTCTCAAGAACTAGAGAAAGAACATAAGCCCCAAACCAGCAGGAGGAAGGAAATGATATATAGAGATAAAAGAAAACAAAAAAGAGAAAAACATAAAAATCAATTAAAGCTAACAGTCAGTTTTTTGAAAGGATCAATATAATGGACAAACCCTTATCCAGATGAACTAAGAAAAAGAGAAGACTTAAAAAAAATCAGAAATGCCATTAAAACCAATGCCACAGAAATAAAAAGGATTATAAAAGAATACTATGAATAACTGTATGCCAATAAAATGGATAACTTAGAAGAAAGGGATAAATTCCTAGGAACATAAAACCTACCAAGACTGGATATGAAGAAACAGAAAACCTGAATAGACCTGTAACTATTATGAAAATTGAACCAGTAACCAAAAATCTTCCAGCAAAACCACTGGGTATTTACCCAAAAAATACAAAAACGGTAATTCAATGGGATACATACACTTCTACGTTTACTGCAGCATTATTTTATAATAGCCAAATATGGAAGTAACCCAAGTGTCCACTGATAGATGAATGGATAAAGAAGACATGGTATATATGTACAATGGAATATTATTCAGCCATAAGAAAGAAATCTTGCCTGTTGTAACAACGCGGATAGAGCAGGAGACTATAATGCTAAGTCAAATTAAGTTAGAGAAAGACAAATACCATATGATTTCATTCATATGTGGAATTCAAGAGGTAAAACAAGCAAAGGAAAAAAAAGAGACAAACCAAGAAAGAGACTCTTAACAAACTGAAGAACTGAAGGTTACCAGAATGGAGGTGTGTGGCTGGGGGGTGGGAATACTAGGTGATGGGGATTAAAGAGTACACTTATCGTGATGAACACTGAGTAATGTACAGAACTGTTTAACCACTATATCGCACACCTGAAACTAATATTACACTGTATGCTAACTATACTGGAATTTAAAATTTTAATTAAAAAAAAAAAAAACAAAAAACTCCCAGAAAAGTCCTGGACCTAATGGCTTTATTGGTGAATTCTACCAAACATTTAAAGAACATTAATCCTTCTCAAACTTTTCCCAAAAAATTGGAGGAAAAATTCACTTATTTTGTGAGGCCAGCAATACCCTCATACCAAAGCCAGCAGACACTATAAGGAAAGTATAGACCAATGTCCCTTATGAACACTGATAAAAATTCCTCAACAAAATACTAGCAAAATGAAATTAGCAGCATATTAAAAGGATAATACACCATAAACAAGTGGGATTTATTCCTGGAATTCAAGGATGATTCAACCTATGAAAATTGATAAAAGTAACTCATCACAGTAACAAATCAAGGAAAATAACCTCATGATCATCTCAATTGATGCAAAAAAAGAATCTGACAAAATTCATGATAAAAACTCTCAACAAATTAGGTATAGATGGAAAGTACCTCAACATAATTAAGGCCATATATGAAAAGCACACAACTGCCATCATACTCAAAATCATGAAAGACTGAAAGCTTTTCCTCTAAGTTGAAAAAAAAACAAGGATGTTTGCTCTCACCACTTCTTTTCAGCACATTACTGGAAGTCCTAACCAAAACAATTAGGCAACAAAAAGAAAAGCCCTCCTAATTGAAGAGGAAGAAGTAAAATTATCTCTGTTCACAGGTAACATGATGTCACATGCAAAAAACTTAAAGATTAAAAGAAAAAAAAAGAATAAGTGAATTTGCAGTTTCATTATACAAAATTACCACATGCAAAAATCCATTGCATTTCTATACACTAAGACTGAACAATCCAAAAAGGGAAATTAGGAAAACAATTCAACTTTAATACCATCAAAACAAAAAACAAAACAAAAAAACTTATGAATAAACCTAACCAACAAGTTGAAAAACTTGTACACTGAAAACTACACATTTCTGTAAGAAATTAAAGACATAAATAAATGGAAAGATATCCCATGTTCATGGATTAGTAAACTTAAGTACTGTTAAAATACCAATACACCCAAAGCTATCTACAAATTCAACGCAATGCCTATCAAAATCCCCACAGCATTTTTTACAGAAACAGAAAAATCCATCCTGAAATTCACATGGTATCTCAAAGAGCCCCAAACAGCCAAAACTATCCTGAAAAGGAAGAACAAAGTTGGAAGACTGTATTAGGGTTTTTCAGAGAAACAAAACCAACAGGAGATACATACACACACACACACACACACACACACACACACACACACACACACACACACGTATGTTATAGGAATTGGCTCATGAGATCATAGAGGCCAAGAAGCCCAGGATCTGCCATCTGCCGGTCAGAGAACCAGAAAAGTCAGTGGTATGTATAATTCAGTATGAGTCTGAAGGCCCAAGAACCAGGAGCTCTGAGATCTAAAGGCAGGAGGAGATGGATGTCTCAGCTCAGAGAGCACTAATTCATCCTTCCTTCCCCCTTTTGTTCTATTCAAGGCCTCAGGGCATTGGATGATACCCAACTGCGCAGGTTAAGGCCATCTTCTTTACTCTACCTATTCAGATGCTAACCTCTTCCAGAGACATCCCTATAGACGCACTCAGAAATGCTTCCCCAGCTATGTGGCCATGCCTTAGCCCAGCCAAGCTGACACAGAATTAACCATCACAATGACTCATACTTTTGATTTCAAAACTTACTACAAAACTACAAGTGTAGCAAGGATATGGAGAAATTGGAACCTTTGTACATCGTTAGTGGGAATGTAAAATGGTACAGTGATGTGGAAAACAGTATGGTAGTTGCTCAAAAAATTAAAAATAGAATTACTATAAGATCCAGAGATGCCACTTCTGGGTATATATCCAAAAGAACTGAAAGCAGCATCAGAGGTATTTACACACCCATGTTCACTGCAGCATTATTCACAATAGCCAAGAGGTGAAAGCAACCCAAGTGTTTATCAATGGATAAATGGACAAACAAAAGACAGTACATCCATACAATGGAGTATTATTCTGCCTTTAAAAAGAAGAAAATCCTATCACATGCTACAACATGGATGACCATTAAAAACATTATACTAAGTTAAAGAAGCCAGTCACAAAAGACAAATATTGTATGATTCCACTTACATAAAATCCCTAACATAGTTAAATTTAGAAAAACAAAGTGTAATGGTGGCTGTCAGGGGCTGGGGGCAGGAGGAGAGGCATTGGGAGTTCTCTAATGGGTACAGAGTTTGAATTTTGCATTATGAAAAAGTTTTGTAGATCTGTTGTACACCCATGTGAACAAAAAACACTCAATGAACTGCTGCTGTCCACTTAAAAACGTAAAATGCATAAATTTTACGCTGTGTATTTTACAATAAATTTCTTTTTAAATATGCTTCACTGCATCTTGACAACTAAAACTAAAATGGGGACTCCAGTTATCATTTAAGCCATTCCTTCTAAAAAAACTCAACTACCAAACACCATAAACATGGACCCAGGACCAAATCCCTCCCATTCACCTTCCAACTCACCTTCGCTTTGGTGCCCTAATGAAGAGCTCACAGAGTAGCCTGCCCTGCTCATCCTTATAGTCTCGAATGGTGTTGTAGAGTTCATGGCACACAGCAATCTACACATATGAAAAGATGAAAAAAATCACCAGAAATGTGAAAACAGAGCCAGTGTAGGTATAAGGACTATCCTTAATAAAAAGAGACCCCTAAAAGGCAAGCAGAGAAAATGGACAAATCCCCAAGTTCCCACATAGGATCCCAGGTCTGAAATGTGCTGACATGACAGTATCTCCTTATTTAAAATAATTTAACTTTGGGGCGCCTGGGTGGCGCAGTCGGTTAAGCGTCCGACTTCAGCCAGGTCACGATCTCGCGGTCCGGGAGTTCGAGCCCCGCGTCAGGCTCTGGGCTGATGGCTCAGAGCCTGGAGCCTGTTTCCGATTCTGTGTCTCCCTCTCTCTCTGCCCCTCCCCCGTTCATGCTCTGACTCTCTCTGTCGCAAAAATAAATAAATGTTGAAAAAAAAAATTTTTTTTTAATAATTTAACTTTGGCACCTGGGTGGTTCAGTCAGTTGAGCATCCAACTTCAGCTCAGGTCATGATCTTACAGTTCGTAAGTTCAAGCCCCACATCAGGCTCACTGCTATCATCCCAGAACCTGCTTCAGATCCTCTATCCCTGTCTCTCTGCCCTTCTCCCCCCTCTCAAAAATTAAAAAAAAACATTTAAAAAATTTTTAATAATTTAACTTCATGGGGTGCCTGGGTGGCTCAGTCGGTTGAGCGTCCAACTCTTGATGTCGGCTCAGGTCATGATCCCACAGTGGTGGGACTGAGCCCCGTATTGGGCTCCACATTGAGCATGGAACCTGCTTGGGATTCTCTCTCTCACTCTCTCTTTCTCTCTGCCTCTCCCCCGCTCTCTCTCTCTCTCAAAATAAATAAACATTTTTAAAAATAAAATAACTTATTAAACATTTTGGTATCTTTCATCAGATTTATGCTATTGGTGATTATTCTTTTAAGCTAAATCAGTTTATATCACTTTCTTGCTTAAAATCATCCAAAAGAGGGGCTTCTTACTAATCAGAGAATAAAATCTAAATTCATAATAATGACCACAGAGTAGGTAAGGTAACTACATACTGTGGCTGGGCAGACTCTGCCAGTCTCCTTCTCCCTCTTGACTATTGTTCTGTAATCACAACACAACAAACCCATTCCTGACCTAGTTCTTCTGCATTGGGTCCCTCCTCCCTGGAACACCCTTCCCCAGTATTCTGTGGGGCCAGTGCCTTCCAATCGCAAAGAAATGCCTCAAGGTTTGGACCCAAGAAGCCCAAATCAGCCAAACTCTTCTTCTTAACACTTAATATTAGTTGGGGGTACTTTATTATCTATTTGTTCATCTGTTTACATTCTCCTTCTGCTGCACTAGAATCTAAGCTCCAGGTGAAAACTGGCTTGTCCTACACATGGCTATATCCCAACCATCAGAATAGTGAGTGCTTAGCACATGACAAGCACAAAGTTATTTGAATGAACGTATAATGCAAATACCAACATTTTAAAATTTTTTGTCAAAAGGTACAAACTTCTGGTTATTATAAATAAGCACTAGGAATATAAAGTACAACACGGTAACTATAGTTAATACTCCTATACTGTATATTTTAAAGTTGCCACAAGAGTAGATCCTAAGAGTTCTCATCACAAGGAAAAAAACCATTTTTTTGGTCATCTATATGATACGACAGACGTTAAACTAACTGTGGCAATCATTTCACAAAATATATGTCAAATCATTATACTGTACACCCTGAACGTACATGGTGCTGTCTGTCAATTACATCTCAATAAAATTACAAAACAAATTTGTACATATTTCTATTTCATTGTCTGGCATTCTCTGGCCTGTTGAATTGCTAACCCATTTGGTTACTTTTAATTAGAATTAAGGTAAGTGCTTCAGCAGATTACACTCTTAGAAAAACATGTTTTCATCAAAACAGGAATCACTTTATGCAAATTTCCCATTCTAAATGTATTCAGAGAAATTACTTTTCTTGAGAGCTCCTGAATACTAATTTTTAAAGTGCATTATTGAATTATACCTGACATACAATATCATATGTACAATGATTCAATAAACCTACACATTATTCACTGCTCATTACAGTAAGTGTAGTTACTATCTGTCACCACATAATGTTATTACAACACTGCTGACTGTATTCTCTGTGCTGTGCTTTTCATCTCTGTGACTTTTTTTATTCTGTAACTGGAAGTTTATACCTCTTAATCCCCTTAAATAGGATAACCTATTTTACCCACCCACACCCACCCACCATTATTTCTTAACACTGAATTACACTATTACTGTTAAGATTGTTAGCTACATTAGGAAAGAGATTAGGAATATCTAGCCAGAGGAGAAAGAAGTGATGAGGCCTGGATCTTAACGGCTTATCCTTAAAGGAAGAGCAGGAAAAGCAGGCAGAAGCTGTGGTGCCAGTTACTCACAGGATCTACAGTCGGAAGATTGGAAAGTCTCCTCCTTTTCCTGCTTGGGCCTGGTGTGGATACAGAATGGTGCCCGTCATCAAAGTCCCCGCTGACACTACTAGAAGGGGAGGTAGCTCGTCTTCTCTTGGAACCCATGGAATCCAACTTCTTCTATAAGAAATAATCAGCCATGTTCGTATACTTAAATTTAGACACTGCCACCAAGCCCTCAGCTAGCCACCTGCTACCAAGATTCGGGTTCACTTAGGAGGATATTTTAACTCTTGTAAAGAAACTTAACTGTCAAGTTTTTTCAGGGGAAATTCTGGACCTTGTTGGCTTTAGCCCCTTCACTTACCAGAATGCTACACTTTCAATTCAGATAGGACAAATTCAACAAAAGTAGATCCATTTATGTATCACCAATTTTGAATGACCCAATCACGTCTGGCTCCAAATTTACTCATCACTGGATTTTAAAAACCTGCATGTAGTGCAGTGCGGAGGTACTGATCCCTCAAGCCCCTGAGGCAGCCAGGCAGGTCATGGGGACAGAAACCCCAAGGCAATCACCTCTGGAGTCAGCAACTTCATCTGTTTTCCCCAGTGTGTCTTACAATTATGATCATTTTCCAGGTGGGCCATGATATGGAAAAAATAGAAATCAGTGCTTGAGGAAAATGAGCAGTGGCAGTGTAGAGGGCAGAGGACAATGAATCTTCTAGCATTTTAGATGAACTCTAAGAATAATGCACTGAAAATGAATTTTCTCCACTCATTAAAGAAGGCCACAACACATATTCCTGGAAAACACTTAATGTGACTTACCACACCTATGTCAAAGTAAAACTGCTTTGAAACTTTTCTGTCAATCAGACTGATCTCCTTTTCAGTCAGTCATATGAGGTATTCTATGCTCATGAATCTTGAAATCATAGCTTTAAGTTTCAACAGATAATTTGCAACAGTACCTCAGAAGTGAACTTTTAGGTCCTACTTGGCCTTTCAGAAGCACATAAATATTTGCTCTTGGGTTTAGGTAAGCTGTCTAGTAACTAATATTAACACGACTTTACTAATGTACACATTCGATGGTAACACAAAAAATGCAACCGTTAAAATGATCTGCTACAGCTACAGGGAAAAGGTATATGCCTGAGAAGGTTCTATAATGCTTGTACAATTTAACAATAGTATGAGATAGTATACTATGATTTCAAAGATCTTTCTCTAAAGCTAAAAGAAAAACCTGATCCCAGTTTCACTCATCAACATTCAACTTCAGTAAACTAAGACACAATCAGCTGAAAGAATGGGTTGCCAGTAGGTATGGAGAAAAAATTGGGCATCTTCAGGGAACAGAAAGGAGGGGCAAAACCAACCAAAAAAAAAAAAAAAAAATTCTGATTACCAACTAAGAAGCAAGAGGAGTCCCCTACGTCTTCCTCTGAAATACAGTCCACATGGTATTTAAAAACAGCCTACCATGACGATATTCCCTCCTCTAGGCTTTGGTTTGTTACGAGGTATATTAGTTTGCAATTGGCTACAAGTGGCTAAAAGGTTCAACGGGCTTATGCCAAGGACAGCCAAGTTTTGTTGATTTTCTTTTATTTATAATAGGCTGATCAACTGGCCTCAATTCATTAAGATGAAGAAACTAAGGACCAAACCTAATTAAACAAGCTATGACAAGGACACAAGTGAATTTGATGAAAACAAGGAGGGACTCTTTATGGAAAGGATAACAAAATTCAAGAAAAGTGGAAGGCAAAAGGCAGGGAAGGACAGAAAAGAGAAAAGGTGTAGATGATCAGTAATTTACCAGCTTTACCAGAGCACAACCAGCGCCTCGAAAAGCCAGTCTCCTCATTATGTCTGAAGGCCAAGTGAAGCCAGTGGGAGAAGGCAGGGCTTTAGAAGTGCTGATTCAGTGTTAATATATTCAAAACTGAAAGAGAAGAACAAAGAAGAGAAAGGGGAAATAAAAAAAAAAAAAGGTCAGAAGGAATAAAAATGAGTACGAATAGATAGAAAACATTCAAGTAGAACTGCTAAAGAAAGATAAGAGAACTGGAAAACATAGGCATATCAGTTCTCTTGAGCCAAACTGCTGCAAAGGCTCAGGCACTAACAGTACCTGACATTTCTTTCCATTTTAAAACCAAATGCTTTTCATATACTTAAAGAAGGCTCACTGAGATTCCACTTTACTCACATGGAATGACTGTCAATTCCAGGAATGAAGCATGCCTGCCCAAATGCCCCCTAGTCAATAAGAGCAGAGTTCAATCACAGAGCTGGAATGGAGAGTGAACACATGTGGAAGGCTCACATGTGACCCCAAGTGTTGGCAAGCTGGAACAAACCAAGAATGGCCCATGTGAGCAGAGTCTGGAAAACTCCTCCCCCCCTAAAAAAAAAAAAAATTCAGAGAAAGACATTTCTTTCCAAAAGTCCTATCAGCATTGGAAAGACACCACACACAAGTTTAGAAAGATTAAAAACAAAACCTTCAATCATTTTGGCAGGTCAAAATTATCTTCATAAATAATCCAGTGAAAAGCAAATGACCAAAAAAAAGTAAATCATTGGTGTGTATACCAGTTTAGACCACACAATATCCAAAACTCCTTAAACCATTCACTTTTTCTGGTAAAACAAGAAAAAGATGCAACTTAAGGGTAATTTTCAATTATTTTCTTATTCAATGGACACATTTTTAAACGTAGTTTGGAAGCTGGCAAGAGAGGCAATGTGACTTGGCAGGTGGGAGAGGTAACAGGACTTGAACTCAGAAGACTACAATGTGAGTTTCAAGTCCGCCACCTTAAATTATGTTTGATGTTGCTTGAGTCACAACCTCTCAGATCTGGTTCTTCACTTCTAAAAATGAGAGCAGTCAGGTGTACATATCTCCTTTAGATTATTGGGACTGTGAAATGTACATGAAATCACTTTGAAACTTCAAAGCACAACAAAGAAGTTTCAACTGTAGGATTACATGCTCCCTGGGAACAGGAAGAACATTTTATTCATCTTTGTAGCACTGGCTTATAAAATAGTATTTGGCATAGCGTGAAAGATCGATTCATCTTTTTAATAAATGTGTTAAAAGTATACATAAGTGGGACATTTAGAAAAGTTTCTGCAATTTAAAAAGATTGTGAGCATCCCTTCAGCAATTCTTTTCCCATAAAGAGGAAAGACATCATGAAGCCCGGTTAGAAATTTTAAAATGGCACTGATTACAGTCACATGTCCAAAAGTCTGACAACCAATAAATTACAGTGGACACTAAAGAATAACTTTATAATGTGCAACTGGGAAAATATTTACTCATTATAACCATATGGTGTATTCCGACAGTTTATAAACTTTTAGTACTCTCCTTTATTTCTCATGATACTCAGTATCGTAATGCATGATTAAAATAAAAATCTTGGAAAACAGGATTCAAAGGGGGAAAAAAAACCTTACAATCCTTTCTAGAAAAAACCATCCTTAACACTGGCATTCACAGTTTTCTGTATTTATTCTATGCTTTATTTACCTTTTTTAACAAAAGTGTTAAACCATATGTATTATTTTGCAACTTGTGTTTTAACTTGGGATTCTTCCGAGTCAACATTCTTCCACGTAATGTTTGATGGCTTGATAATAGCCTATCATATACACATATACCACAATTTACTAATCTTGGAGTTTGGGACAGAATATTAGTATTTGAGGTATTGTGTAGACCCCCAAATCAAACAATCAAGGCCCTTCCACTTATCCACACACATATTTGTTAGTTTTAATTGGAAGTATTTCTTCAAAAGATACTTTCTAATCTTCCTTTGAATCTTAAAATACTACAATACGTTAGCAAGTAATAAAGCAAAACCATACTACTCTTAATGGGGAAAAAAATCACCTCAAAATCATTTTTGAGGAGTCCTGGTTCTTTGGAAAATAAGTTGATAAGAATGTTTTATTCCAACATGTTTCTCTAACTATAGCAATAATTTCTGTATCTGTTTATAATACCATGTATTTGTCATTTTTCAGTATTTCTTCTACATTTTGCCAATCTTTTTTCTTCATTAAATCACCAAACCTGCCCTATCACAACAAAACTACTTTTCTCTTACAGTAAAATATTTTAAGAGGTGGACAATTAAAAACCAGGAAACGTACACAGTTTTAAAAGCTTGATTTTTTGTGGTGTTGCATATAAATAAGATACTTAAATATCTAGCCTTTACTATAAATACAAGTCCCATTGATAGAACATTCAGTCTTAACACAGTCATCTGTAAAACGAAAAAAAAAAAAATCACTAGTTGAGTTTGCGTCCGAACCGACAAGAAACAACAAAAAAAGGAGGCCCTGACCTGCGGAAGAAATGAAAGACTTTCCGAACATGTCACTGGTACGGGGACTAAGGGAAACGTTGACAGCTTTGAAGCTGCCCGCGACGAGCGCTCGGCCAGCGGCTGG